CTCTCTGGATTCAAGGTGGAAAAGGACATACATTTTTTATCTTGGTAAATCAATATGTCCCAGCTACGCAGACGAAATCGCGTGGAAAAACTAGCAAGTATATATAATAACAAGTTATAAAACTTGTTCAAGAACGTAAACATATTTATCTAAGCGCCGCCGCGACGAATGTGTCGCGTTTGCATATTTTTCGGTGCTCTTATTTTAATGTAGCCAGCACCCGCGGCGGGGCGGGCTTGTTTCCTCAATAAATCCGGGATCCGGGCCACGGGAGTGGGTTGAATTAATGCATGCGGAACTCTGATCATTCTGGGTCAGATGACACGTCGATGTGCAGTGGGTGCTTTGTTTACGCTTGACTTGGCTTTGTGTATTAGAAACAGAAATATTTAATTGAACTCGGTTTGAATGTTTTTCGTAACGGTAACCCTGCCTACGCAGGGGGGAAAGGGATTTTTAGTAATGGGGTGTAATGAAAAACTGACCTATTGCTAGCAATATACCCTATAAGGTCGACCTCCACGCGGTTCCCCTTGGAAACCATCGTGCTTAATTCTAGTGCAATTTATCACGATGGGCTAACTGATCTGCCTTTTCATTCTCACCTATCATCCCTCACTGGTGCCCCGCCAGCATATCTCGATAGCGCAGGCGGGGTTACCATTCCATTATCAACCATTAAAAAAAAACCCTGCCTACGTTATCGGTATTTGCTGGCGTGGCACCAGTGAGTAATGACAGGTGAAAATGAAAGTAGGTCAATTAACCTATCGTGACAAATGTCACTAGAATTAATTACGATGGTTTCTAAGGGCAATCACGTGGAGTTTAACTTGATAAGGCATATTGATAGCAATGGGGCTGTTCAGCCCAATTACTAACAATCCCTTTCCCCCTAGTTGGAATGGTAGAGTAGAACAGGGAAATTACATGAAACGGATAGTATTTAGTAAGGGTATAGTATGATGGTAACATGGGAATCATAGTGTACTAAAATGCACTATCATTCCCATGTTACTATTCCCATATTACATGGTATCTATGGTGCTGTTCATGTCTGTGGGCGATTGTTGTCCTTTTTTTATGCAACATAGAACGTCAAAGTAAGTTTCTTCTTAATACCAAATATATGTCTGAATGGCAGTGTGGTTACGTTACAGAATAGGCCACCCCTTCCTTTCTCGTGGGTGTCGTAAGAGGCGACTAAGGGAAGGCGAGAGATGGACAGCAACGTCCCTCTTAAAACATATCCAAAACCTAAATTGGTAACCCAATCCGCCTGCCAAGCTTGGAAACTACTGGCAAAACACCATCAAGGGGGAGGCCTATGTTCAGCAATGGACAGTTAAAGACTAACATATTGATCACATATCTGAAATTCGCTTTTTAAGCGTGGTAACCACTGACAAGATATTTGAAGCAGTTGTCGCCAGCACCACGACTGCTTTTCACCGACGACACCTTGGAGTGCCTTTCGAACTAACGTTTCCATTCTGAACGAACTAAAAATCAGAGAGAGATTATCCTCGACTGTTCAAATACGAATTCTCAATAACTTCGGCCATATCATCCGGAATGAAAATTGTGTGGAACATCTAATTGTCCAAGGGTCAGTACAAGGCAAACGTTCTCGAGGTAGACCACCAACGCGATGAACTGACCTCATCAAAACGGCCCCACAGCACTCTATTGTGGAATGCTTTCGCTCGGCTGTGAGCAGAAGTAAATGGAGACGCATTGCGAGGACCTCAATCGCGAAGTAGAACCTCATCGAAAATCCACTATCGTTATAAATACCACGACCACTCTGTAAAGACTGTACGACTGAAGAAAGAAACCGCTGACAAAAGCCCCTAAAGGGGAGGCCTATATTTAATAGTGGAGAGTTAACGCCTATTCCATCATCGTCATTACGTATCTGAAAGATCAAAGCGTAATGATTTTTGCCACGGCATACTGGCGTTTTGCGCGAAACAGTATCAGGTGTCCGCTGCTCCCCATTATCATTACCCATCACATCTTACCCTCAAAAATATTTACGGCGAATTAACTTTATTTAGTGAGCGTCCTGTATTTATGGGCACCTCGCAAATTGCCTAGCGATGGAGCGTGGTAGATAAAATTTTACGGTTAAACTTCCGCTTTTAAAACAAGCTGAGATTGCTAAAAGTTTTAACTGTTTGTCTTTATATTGACGCTGAGTTAACGCTATTAGTGTTATTTTGTCGTGAATCAGTTTTTTTTTTATTATGAAAAAATTGATAAGTGTTTCCTCCCTGTGTTTTGATGTGAAACGTGGAACAGTTGAGTACGTTTTTATTGTGTCAGTAAGCAAAGTTGCTGATTTGATTTATTTATTACTACTTTCTTTTGTCTGCGAATACGTCTTCGTGGATTTCAGAAGGAAAAATATTAATGACTGTAGAGGAACAATTCTTGTTGAATTCGTCACGATGGGCTAACTGACCTGCTTCATCCTTACCTATCATCCCTCAGTGGTGCCCCGCCGGTGTATACGGATAGCGCGGGTGGGGGTACCATTCCATTATCATCCATTAAAAAAAACCCAACAAACATTGATGTTAGATGGCGTACATACGTTCCTACATTAATACCCTATATACAGTTGTTACTGATAAGTTAATAGATAATTTTTGAAGATTCAAAGTTTGTTTTTTTTGAATTTTTGATTTTCCAAATTTATATCTCCATGTATAATTTATATATCAGAGGAAGAATGTACAAAAGTAGTTTAATAAATTATATGCATTTGATATTTTTTGCACTATAGGTTTTTGTATTTTAGGCACGAAAAAATTATAAATTCACTCTTGCGCCACCTGCCCACTTCTATTTGTTCTCCTTTAACCAAAGGTTGTTTGTAAGAGATTGCCCTAGCGATAACGCCTTTTGTACCTTTATGTGTATATTTCAAACTGTATTTATGTTACTGTATTTCACTTGAGCTGTTCAACTGTCATTGTATATTTTTGTTTATGGTACAATAAAGAGTTAAATAAATTAATAAATAATAAATAAAAGTAATCTGCTTGGGTATCTCTGTCCCATTCGTATTTCTTTCAGTTGAGTTTGCATGTGCTGTATTTCAGTTTGAAGGGTGGGATACGGCAATGAAATTACAGAGTATAGAGTCGTACACTCTAGTTCTCAGTAATGTTAACGCATGAAGGGTATCATGGACAAAACAGTATACTCTGTTATGTCCATGGTACTGCTATTGTCTATAGGCGACGGTTACATAAACCATTTAGTGGGCCATCAGCTTGTCTGCCATTCTAAGTTGCATAAAAAAAATATTGTTAATTTACTTACGGTCAACTACTACGCCTTTCCCTTTTAGATATTTTATTATTATTATTATTAGATACATGACATTTAACACTGTAAATATATCGTTTAACACACGTAACTTACTTTTATTACAGTAAGATAGAAAAGCGGTGTAGAGAGATACGGCCGCGTAATGGACGCTGATAGGGCCGGTACCCATCTACTAGGGCCATTAGGGCCTATTGGGCCTATTCGGGACCATTGGACACATTTTGTCTCGTCGCTGGCACGTTTAGAAGCCCGGGTAATTGCTTTGCGATGCTCCTATCGCATGTTTTCGTATATCAATGGTTGTATTTGTTTCAAGATTGGGAAATAGATTGGCCGGTGTCTTGTGTAAATAACTTTGTTTTATCTTCGCTTGCTTTCTTTTATTGAACATAGATACATACATACATACATATCTGTCACGCCTGTCTCCCATTAGGGTAGGCAGAAACAATAGAACGCCAAATGCTTCGATTCAAACAAACCTCTTTCGCTTCTTCCACATTCATCAATCTTTTCATACACACTCGCCGGTTACGGGTACTTTTAATTTGGCCCTTCTTCAGCACGTCGCCTATTTGGTCGATATACGTCCGTCTAGGGCGGCCCCTACCGACATTTCCATTCATTCTTGCTCGATAAATCTCTTTCGTAATTCTTCTTTCATCCATCCTCTCCAAATGACCAAACCAACGCAACATTCCTTTTTCGATTTTTGTCACTACATCGTCTTTCAGTCCACACTTCTCTCTAATCACACTGTTTCTTACTCTTTTATTCAATGCGTTAAAAAGTGGAATAAAAGCTGGTCAATTGCGAGTCGGACTTACTCAACGAGGGTTCCATACCAAATCATCGAATATATTTTTTATTGAGTAATAATTACTAATTTATGGTTTTCGGATTGTTTCCTTTACTTGTGTTGCATGATATTGCTTTTTACCAAATTTCACAATTCTAGGATAACGGGAATCAAAATTATGCCAAAATATGCGATTTAATGGAATATAAAAATTGTTTGAATCGAAGCATTTGGCGTTCCATTGTTTCTGCTTACCCTAATGGGAGACAGGCGTGACTACAGATGGGCAAAGCACCGGGTTTAAACCCGGTGCTTTGGTAAAAACCCAATAAACACCCATAAACTCCCATAATCACCCAAAAAAATAGGTTTTTACGTATTTTTTTGAAAATATGTAAGTAATACCAATAAATTATTTTTATAAATTGTATTGATCAATTCTACAATATTAAATAAAACGTTAACTAATAATATTTCAGGAAATTTTAAAAATCTATATATAATAAAATGAAAGTAATTAATTTTCAGTGTTTTCATGTTGCAGTTGATCAACATGTTGGCCTTTTGCTTCCCGTAGATACTTTAAAATTTCTTCATAACACCTCGTTCGCACACATGGCCGTATATATTTAAATTCTTGAGCCACTAACAGTCCGAAATACTCATTTCTTTTATCCTCTTCTCCATAAATTAAGCATTTAGAACAGTTTGTTTCTTCTTTCAGTAAATTTTCTTTTACTTTATCCTCGTTTTTTTTATTTGTTGCGACGACGCTGGGTAAATCATCTGGACACTGGGTCTCACTATCGCCAAATATATTTGGAGATCGGCTTCGGCTACGGCTTGGCAGACATTTTTTCTTTCTACAATTTTAAATTAAATTTATTAGAATAAATGCTTCGAACACACGCGATCTAAGTACCTTTTGTGTTTATTATACCTTACCTACCTAGGTATAAAAAGAGTACTTACGTAGATTTTCTTTTATTAACTGTTTTATACGAAGATCTTGATCTCTCAAATTAGCATCCATTTTACTTCCAGTGATTATCAACTAAATTAATAATCCACAAAGTATTAAATAACGTTTTTATGAAATATTTAGCACAAAAACAATACCCTTTAAATATCGATCGTCAGTAACTGTGGCTGACTTACCTATATTCTAGCAAGCAGGACTGCCAGATGTGAAGGGGAAATCCCCAATAAATTGTTGCATGTGACTGATGATGTGAGCATGTTCGTTTCATAATAAAAATGTTGCCAGGTAACCAAAAAGTCGTATGTTTTTGTGCGAATTACGATCATAATCTTTACGATCGTACATTAAAAAATAGACAAATAATAGTATGAGTACGATTTAAATCGTATATCTGTCAACCCTGCTAGCAAGACAGCGACAAAATCACGTTGCATAACAATGTAGCCCAAGCTTATATCTTATGAAATATACGGAAGAGATACGGACTTAGAAAAAACAGAAATGTTGTTCTTTGTGGAAGTCATTGATGAAATTCTATGTATTTTAGCCCGCAAACTTTCTTCAAACAAAAACAGCGCCATCTAGTATCGAGTTCTGTAATTATCTCTTTGTTTATGGATTTGAAGTAAGACCGCCACGCATGCAATACATTATGACTGGGGATTCCCCTATTCGTCGACGCTGAATATGAGGCGACGACAATCACTGTCAAACGTGTTCACTATTACTCTGACTCTGGTAACGTGACTTCCTGGTAACGTGTTAGGTAGGAAAAGCAGTAAAAAAGTGCATATTAAGGGAGCAGATTTGAAATAATATTTATACTTAACAAGAAATAATTAAAGGTAAGTGGATTTTTGAATGATACAATTATATCATGATCACTTAACAATTTTAACTTAAAATTAGATGTATTATTACAAGCTTTTATTTAGCTTGCGTTATGTAAATAAAAGTATGTAGGTATGTTCGTATGTTGATGCAATTATCCTCAATCCTCAACCGACTGGGATAAAATTTTCCATACACGTTTATTTTGGATGATAGTGCATAGTTAGCTGAGAGTCGTCATTGGATAATAATGGTGGATAGCCTAAGATGTGTACTAGATATTTATTTTTAACATAATATGCGTAAGTACCTAATCGAATTAAAGAAGTTGCTGAGAAAAATACAGAACAATACGATAATAAACTAGCGTCTGCGTTTAATCCTCCGAGGAGATGTAATTTTACAAAGGTTTTTTGTATTTATTTTATTATTTTTTTAATAAATTTATTGTAAATAACAAGAAATAATCATTGTAAAAAAATAGGCACTCTATTGTTGAATTTTCGTCAGACCAACTAATCATCGTTCATTTTTTTAGGTTCAATGGGGAGACCTAAAGATTTACGCATATGGGAGCACTACCGTACTTTACCAAACAAGTCTGTTTCTTGCAAGCTTTGTAATAAGGTCTACAAATTCAGTAATGCTGCCAAAATGCTTCAACATCTTATCACTTGTCCAAAATCTCCAGAAACATTAAAAGACTCTATGAAACTTATAAAAGATAGCTCGTCCAAAACCAAAATGTCTGGACTGTCAGAGATAGAGACAAATGATTCTTTTATAAGCCCCTCGTCGTCTGCTAACACTACAATAAATGCTGAGTTTCAAGACACCGATGATCATATAAAAACAGAATTAGCGAGAGCTATATTTGTAACAGGGACGCCATTATCGATGGTGCAACATCCTTTATGGATACAATTTTTCGAAAAATTGCAACCAAAATTTAAAATACCTTCACGTAAAGCTTTAGCGACAAAATACTTAGATAAAATATATAGAGAAATGCGTTTTGAGTTAAATGAGGAACTAAATGCTTGTAGTTACTTACACCTTCAGTGCGATGGCTGGTCTAATTTAAGAAATGAAGGAATAATAAACTTTCTTATATCAAAACCTCAACCTGCATACGTTAAAAGTTTGAATACAGAAAGTAATCCTCACACTAGTGAATACCTTAGCCAAGAAGTTGAAAAAGTAATGAAAGTGTATGGAGCAAATAAGTTTCTTGTACTTATTGGCGATAACGCTAGAAATATACAAAAGGCATTCGAATTAACAAAACTCAAATATCCACATGTTGTTCCTCTCGGTTGCTGTGCACATATCCTTAACTTGTTGTGCCAAGATATTGTAAAGATACAAGAAGTAACTGTGTTTATTATGCAAGCCATAAATATAATAAAAACTGTTAAAAGGAGTCAACGATTAAGTTCCTTGTTGATAAAATCAAGGCAGGGTGAAGATTCTACACAAACACTAAAATTGCCTTGTGCTACAAGACGGGGAAGTCATGTTACTTCGTTAAAAAGTTTGAAAGCAAATAAGATAGCTTTGCAAATATTAACAGTTAGAGAAGATGTGGTAATTTCAAGAGATATTAAAGATTTAATTCTAAGTGATGATTTCTGGACGAAGACAGGGGAATGTATAAGTATTTTGGAACCAGTCACTGAAAGCATATTTTACTTAGAGAGCGACCAGAATCGTTTGCATCGCACATACATTACATTTAGAGATGTACAAGCTAAGATACGTTTTGCATTAAATGAGATTTCGACATTGAGCGAAGAAAGCAAACAGCAGATTCTAACATCAGTATCTTCAAGATGCAATATGGCAATGAGGCCAATACATTTTGCAGCATATATTCTAGACCCCAGGACTCTAGGAGTCGAACTTACTCAAGAGGAAGAACTTAAGGGTATGGAGTTTATCTACAATTTAAGCCAACACTTAAGTTTGTCAAATGTAATGGCAGATTTGGCGTGTTATAAAGCTAAAGAAAACTTTTGGGCCAGAGGATTTGTATGGAGCTCATTAGATAGCATTGAGCCCCTAATATGGTGGAAAGGTATTTGTGGTTCCACTGAGTTAAGCAAAGTAGCGATTCGTATTCTATCAGCTCCCTGTACTTCGGCAGCCACTGAGCGTTCCTTTAGTATCCAAGGCTACATACATAATAACAAAAGAAATCGACTTACAACTGAAAGAACTGAAAAAATTTCATTCATTTGTTATAACTGGAATCTTAAACATAAAGCTGAATGCGAGGACATTCAGTTTAATGAAGAAAATACCTTAGAAGCTTTCATTGAGCAAGTAAATGAACATAACAGTTTAGACGAAATAGAGCCTATCGAACCTATACAATTCATCGCTTGTAATAACTCTGAATCTGACAGTGATTGACTGTAGTTTTACATTTTACTTTCATCTCTTTCTTAATAAACTCAAAATCAAATTAAAAGTTTTTTATTCTGTAGGCTGCATAATAATATTGTCTATGTCCAGTATAGTGGACGTCTTGCGGCTGAGATGACGATGATGAAGTACAAAATCATAAACACCCAAAAATTTGGGTGTTTATGGGGTTTAAACCCAATAAACCCAAAACACCCGGTTTTTACCCACCAGACTTTAAACCCACCCAGGTGGATTGCCCATCTCTAGGCGTGACAGATATGTATGTATGTATGTATGTATAAACGAGCGTATCTTTTGATTGCGTCGATTCAGAAGCATGATTTTTTACTGATTTAAAAGATTGCAGACCTGATATTAATATCATATAATAATTAATATTATATCATATTAATTTGAATTTGATGCTTCTACGCGTTCCTAAGGAAAAGGGTCTCGATGAATGGACGGATGGACGGACAGCGAAGTGATCCTATGAGGGTTCCGATGTTTCCTTTGGAGGTATAGAACCCTCCAGCAGCAGCGTCCCTCTTAAAACATCTCCAAAGCCTAATTTTGGTTACTAATCTGCTTGCTAAGCGTGGCAACTACTGGCAAAACCTCCCAAGGGGGAGGCTTATGCTCAGCAGTGGACTGTTAAAGGCTGATATGATGACGATGATGAATGGCGTAAGTCTACATGAAGATATATAATACAAAACATGCAACGCTCGATCTTTTAAGGTTATTCTATTAGGCGACAATTTAATTTTATAAAAAAATATTTTAAACAATTTATTAATCAAACAATTTTGTTTACGTTAGTTGTATCTTTTTTAAACTAATTCAACTCGTGAAAACCGCGATGCGATTAGGATAACCGCACACCTGGCACCCGGTCACGTTTGGAGAGGCCGAAAGTTAGGCCCGCCGCAAACTCCTGATTAGCCGACGACCGGCCGCATGGGCGCCGTTTCGGGTAAGTGCCACAGAAGTTGGCCGCGCCAAGACGTGAGCCGTAAACGAGCCGTTTTAAAATTTAATTTCTCGCTTCCCGATTTGGAGACGTGACATTTCGCACGCCTTTAGCAGTTTACACGTTTGACGATTGAATTTATAAATATCTATCTACTGGGGTCGTATCTGAGGTACCATTTCCAAATCTATCTCTTATTATTATTATTAAAAAAGATAGGCTTTTTCAGGCAGAAAAACTTGTGAGACTGCGACCTTTCTACGATTTTTGTGCTCGTTCTTTTTTTAAAGTTTGCTGTTAATTCCTATAAATGTTAGGAATTTTAAGATTGTTTTTCTAGCGACGTATTTTATCTCCTCACAATTTAGAGTATTTTTCAAAGAAGATATATCGTTTATGTATGAGTGAGCTACAGCCACAAATTAAGTGCTGCGGCGTTTCTTCCTCTTTGTGACAAAATCTGCAAACACTTTTTGGGTATAAGCCTAGTTGGGCCTATATTTTAACTTAATGTTTTAATTTGATAATTTCGCAAAATTTGAAAATCTCTCAAAACTATACTCTGTTAGGTCCATAGCTGCTCATGTCTGTAGGCGACGGTTACCACGTTCCATCAGGTGGGCCGTCAGTTTATTTGCCATTCTAAGTTGCATAAAAAATACGCAAAATTTTATGAAAATGTTGACCCATTTTTCTCGAAGCATTTGTATGGTATATTTGTATATAAAAAATGCGCTTCCGAGTCGCGTCCGCTTAGCGGACATATAGATAATAATATTATATACACTGTTTTGTTTAAACTAGCTTGGCGATAAACTTAAATTATTGTAAACAAACCACCTCTTGTTCCTAACGCCAAGAATGTACGCAAAATAAAGAAATAGGAGATCCACTTAAGTGTCAATTGAAGAGGGACTTTTTTGGTCCATGTTTATAAACAAGTGCTGTTTTTTAATAATTGAAAAATAAAAGGTAACTTATAGGTGACCCCATTTTTTTTCTCATAGAACAGTTGCAATGCAATTCAAATCGAGTGTAGTGTAAGAAATTACATAAAGAATCTAGTTGGAATATAAATCTAATCTGCATTTTGGTATAATTCTAATTAGATTTCGGAAAAATCAGGTTTTTTTTAAACCTATACGCTAAAAAGACCCAGTCTGTGTAAAGTCCGCTCACGGGACGCCACAGATGTGGATTTTCCACCATTTTGCATGACACAGTTGAAAGGTTAAACTAACTGTATTTCATAGATTTTCCATTAGGAATTAGGTCAAAATATATCCGATGTATTAATTTTACCTATGTACATTATGAATTAAATTTCACTTACATCCGTTTAGGTGTAATTGAGTAATAAATATCCAAACATTTGACATACGTAAACGCCCACTCAGACTAGTCACACGAAATTTACCACTAGCAATAACAAACTAATTAATTTACAGATAATATCATATCGAACGTTTACTGACTATTAACGCAAGATAAATGGTGCTATGTTAAAATTTACACCGTGAATTACGTATATATATCATGTAAACTGTAACTAGTGGATCTCGTACCACAAATTGAACCTGTTCACGCGACGTCTCGAGTAATTCAAATCAAACATTCACCACCTCAGATCCGAATCTAATTTCCCACTCGAATTAAATATCGTCGCGATTCCGGGATTACATTAAGATTATGGTAAATATTTGGTGCTCTTACCCTACCTGGTGTGAGTTTGTGATATATGTAAATTAAATATTTGTTCCGTGTACATTTGCATGACATTTTTTTTAATACAGTTCTGTATGTCTATGTATGACTTATTTAAATACACTCGGCCCAGTTTTTGCATTGTGAAATGAAATAAAGTGCAAATTACATTAGGTAATGTAATTTGCAGTAAGACTAATTGATATATAATTTTTTTTTAAATATACATTAGTCGAATTTAACTTATTTAAAAAGAAAAAAAAATATAGAAAAATATGTAATTTAAAATTTGGATATATACCACATTATATACTTTATATTTACCGACAATATACATGTCGCTAAAAATTAAATGCTAAAAAACTTTAGTTTATATATCAGTTGCTAATTTGACAACAAATTATTTTTATTCTTACGGCAAGTCGACGTCTAAGGACTTTCTATTCGCTAAACAATAAAATGAAGTTTTTTTGAACAATTGTATATTTATTACATTATTACCATGTGGTTCCAGCATAGAATGCACTCTGTTATGTCCATGGTACTGCTCATGTCTATAGGCGACGGTTACCACTTTCCATCAGGTGGACGCGTCGGCTTGTTTGCCATTCTAAGTTGTATAAAAAAAAATAGAATAGGCCACCCCTTCCTTTCCCGTGGGTGTCGTAAGAACTGACTAAGGGAGGGCTATGGATGGGCAGCAGCATCCTTGTTAAAACATCTCTAAAGCCTAACTACGGTAGCCAATTCGTCTATCAGGCGTCCCACCCTTCAAACTGAAACTCAGCCATGCAAATATAACTGATTCACGGTAGATGCATGAATGGGACAGAAGTGTCTAAGCAAACGATTTTTGTATAAAGTCTCTTTCTGGTGAAAAACAAATCGAACAAAAGATCGTTACGATTATCGCCTCATGTACTGGGCCCCTAACCTTCTACCCTCTACCGCTATGCTAAGCTGCCACAAGCAATCTTGTCTTTAGACATCGTTTCAATGCTATTAGAGATACGTACGTTTTTATTTGCTGTATTTTTAATATCGGCGCATCGCTCTCGTATTCGGGGACCGATAACCCAACATTTTTCTTTTCGATTTAATTAAATTTCAGACATTCGATTTCAATCTTTTAGTGGGTGAATCTCAGAAGATCCTTCTTAGAGGCCATTTTTTCTGATCATTTTATACATATACTAGTCTTTACTTGCGACTTTGTTCACGTAATCGAAATATATTGATTAATCGGATAACTGGGTAACTTATGCCCTTCTCTGTCCTTAAAAGTATTATATACTGAATTTAAAAACGACTAGTTTAGGTGCATAGAGGTAATAAATAAACACAAAAATTAACTTTCTTTCAAACTGACAAACGTGTTAACACGTAAGGTATATTTTATCACTAGCTTTTACCCGTGACTTTGTCTGTGTGTTCGGGGTATATTCATTGACCAGAGCAAAAAGTACCTATACCTACTTCTCCATCTCACATAGTACTTGTATATTTTATAGTGATTGGTCAAGTTGTTAAGACGCTAAGAGATGACAAATAAACAAACATATTTTCATATTTATAATTACGTTCAAAGGGATAAACGGATTTGTATATAAATTGGAATGACGATGATGATGGTATCAGCCATTACTGTCAGCTGCTGAACACAGACTTCCCCAATAAGAGGGTTCTTGCCAGTAGTTGTCACGTTTAGCAAGCTGATTTGCAACCGCAGTTAGACTTTATTGATGTTTTAAGAGGGACGCTGCTGCCCATCCCTCGCCCATTAAGTTCCCTTAGTCGCCTCTTACGACACTCACAGGAAAGGAAGGGGTGGCCCATTCTCTATCGAGACCAGCAAACCTACACATTAACTCTTGAGTTAGTACATACAATACTTTTTATTCTAATCAACGCGGGTAAAACCGGCAGATATAGTTAGTCGATTACAATAGGTCAGTACTTAGCGTATAGCACTTTAGGGACCTTCGGAATCCATTGATTTTAGGAATTTATCCATCCTGTTTCAACTCAGTGAGTGGTTCCCCGGTTCATTACCTAAAGTGCAGGCTTACTGACTCAGCCGCGGCTTATTTTGTTTCAAAACCAATCTATTTAATGCCCGAAACGGAGCGATTGGTTGGTGGCCGCTATTTTTCAAGACTTTTCAGCCGTTTCCGAGTTAGAAAGTGAGACGGGCGAATTAAGGGACGGAGCGAATGAGGTGGTGTTTTTTCTCATTTGATATTATGAATATCAAATGAGAAAAGCACACAATTTTAATAGAGTGGGCCTACTGTCCTTTGTGTAATGAAATATAATTTAAAATTATAATAATTGTGAACTATAATAAAGAAGCTAAAGTGGCAATGAGCTGGTCACATAGCACGAAGAACTGACAATCGATAGGAAAGAAAGATTCTTGAGTGGCGACATTGTACGGGCAAACGCAGCGTAGGACGACCAGATGGAGTGACGACCTCAAATGCATTGCAAAAAGTCAGTGGATGCAGGTCGCTCAGGACCATTCCTTCTGGCAGTTTATGTGGGAGGCCTATGTCCAGCAGTGGACGAATAATGGCTGAAATGATGATAT